ATGTTACTATCGCTACAGAAGAGAGTCACATGTTACTATCGCTACAGAAGAGAGTCACATGTTACTATTAATACAGAGCAGAATATCGGGTCACTATGGCTGAACACGCAGTCAGAGGCATAGCCAGTGTGTTGCTTTTGCAGTTATGCACCGACATAGGAGGACAGTAGAGGGGCGCTGGCTTCAGTAAGGTGACAGTGTGGACTGTGGAGGCAGTGTGGTGCGTGGGCGGGGGATGGGAAGCCGGCCCAGGAGTTCTCCCCGCGTCCGGCCTGCCATGGCACCACCCCCCCCTTCCCTGCTGATTTCCTGCAAACTGCCTGATGGCAGCAGCTGCCTGTAAGAGAGGGGGACAGAAGCCCTCAAGAAGCCCCCCTCTTCCAGTGATGTCCTGCTACACTCTTTGGGGCCTTGAGTACCCAGGTTTTAACACATTCTAGCCCCCTGAGCTATACTCACTTAAGTCTTCCCCCATGTGACCGAGTGAAAGAGTATGTGTAAAGAATTAGTATGTACAGGGCCTGAGCCACTGACCCTGATGAAAGCTGATTGGCCCCTGGAGTGCCCCATCCCCTGTCACTCACAAATTCAAAGCATATCATTGGCTAATGAAAAGGTTGCCCACATTGTATGAATTATGGGACCTTTAAAAGAACCCTAGAATTGCCCCTAGTGTAAGGGATAACGTAGAGGGAGAGCAGGTGTGTTTCCATGGCAGGAAACGGACAATGACTCTAAGCCGGTGCGCGAGTGCGAGCATGAAAACAGAGCAGCCAGTGTGATTTTAATGGGACACTGTTCCTCTCGACCTGCCTCTACAACGAGGCACAAGAATGAGGGAATCTCACAGAAAGCAGAAGGAGAGAGAGCCACTCTTCGCTGCCCACACTGCTCGCCTTCCCCGTGGCTGTTACTTAACGGCCGAGCAGCTGGGACATCTGCAGCCGCGCCGAGCGCCAGATGGGATCCGGGTCGCCGCGTGCCGGAGCAGCAGCCGGGCTGTCAAGTGCCCGGGCCTCCACGTGTCCTACAGAAGAATGCCCAGCGGGGAGCGTTTGGCGCTGAGAAAGGCCAGGGCTGGCTCTGCCTGGAGAAGAACTCACACCACACCAGCTCTGTCCAGGAATCCTGAGCAGGCGGATCAGCAAAGCCAGAAAGAAGTGTTCCAAAAAAAGACCCATGATAATATATTGGGGCGGGGGGGGGAAGTCTTCTGCAGTATTTTGGACATAAACAGCGGGGGAGGGAGGTAAGAGCCCTGGAAGGATGGAGCCACAAAAGCCAGAAGGCTGGAGGCGTGAAGATGTGATTCAGATTGGGCACCTCGGGGAAGCTACTGTGGTGAAGAACCAATTGGTGAGACCCAGCTGTCCAATCGCATTCGGCCCCCTGTCTTCTAGGGCCCAGCCTCACTTTGAAGTTGCAGATCTGTATGTCACAGGTCAAAGATCAGAAATGCACTGCAGTTGACGACTCTCAGCCATTTAAGACGTTTTGTAAAGCTGTGAAGCTTTTAAATGCCAGCATTTCTCGATCTTTTCTGTACACCAACTGAAAATAGATCAGAGCTAGGACCCCACTCCCACAAGTGCAAAATTAGGCTTGGAGCGAGCTTTAAGGCTACCTTTTCTGGGGGGGGGGGGGGGGGGTGGCGTTATTTTTTTACGATAACCAGCAACTGTCCAGTGGGTCCCCAGGGGATTGTGGAGCACAGGTTATAAACCCCCCTGCTTAGGTAAATTTAATATCTCATATCTGTAGTTCCTTATATCTCCTGATATCAAGACAGGTTCATGGCCCAATGCTTTGATGTTCACAGCACATTAAAAATATCAGTCTCCATGAAAAACTTTCACCTCAGTATCTGTGTGACCGTCACACAGGGTGAGAATTCCCCATTCCTACATGCCAGGTCACCGGCTGTCCGTTACGAAAGCCAGCGGGCACACACTTAAACCAACGGAACACTCCGGAGCCTTTTAACGGGGCTGGGTGTGTGACAGAGAGTTGCCCGAGCGTGGTGCACTGGACCGTTTCCGGATGCCTTCGGTCGAAAAGCGGCTTTCAGGCCAAGTAAGGGTCCTGCATCAACAGAACTGAAAAAGTGCCACGTCACAGACGGACAGAAGCACTAAGATCTCTCATTTTCCAGGCTTGAAAAGCTCCTTTGGTAATGGCGGCTGTCTGATAAACAGAACACCTGGAGGGATTTTGGGGAGACTCCTCGTCTTTATTCGAGAAGCCAAACGGAGGATGAAGGAAACATTTCGCAGGAAGTACAGGTGAGAGAATTGTGGCCATCGGCAAGAATCGGCAGGAAATTGTGGTTTGGACCAAAACTTTGGGTCCCAGATACGTTATAGTGGCTAGGAACCAAGACTCATCATTGTGGTTTGGCCCTGATGCCCAAACCCTATCATTCCATTTGGGGCCTAGTATGTGGGGGTGTGGCTGTGGTCCGCCTCCTGTCTCTGTGCTGCCATATGACCGCCATTGGGGCCAGCGATTCCTTCGAGGACCAACAGGCAATATCGTGGCTTGGTCTCAGTCTCCGCCGGCTCCATTGAATACTGGTAAAACGAGCCAATCGGGAACGCAGCCGCCTCCCTGGGCACCTGCGTGTGCCGTCACATGTGCCGTTAGCCCAGCCAATAACGCGAGGGCGCGCCTGTGATCCATGCTGCCACCGCCTTCCATTACGCATTCCTCTTTGCTCTCTATATACGGCGCTAAAAATAGCTGCATGGGAGATAAAAGACACAGCTCCTCTTCCCGGCTCCCATCTCCCCTCCCTCTCTCCCCAATTTAGCCTGTTTTTTTCTTGTTTAAACACCGGTCGGCCGAGAAGAGTAAAAGCTGGAGGCGAGATTCACCGAGACATCAAGGTGGGTGTCCGGGAGCATGGCGTCCCAAGGGTATGGCCTGGCCGCCGCGGCTTTCAGGGGGGTTCGGCAGAATCACACGGCCGAGGAAGTCGGCAGCATGTGCGGCTCGGCTGGGCCGGGATGAACCAGAGCCTCAGGAGGCTCCGAGACGGAATCAGCGGGATCGGAGACAGTGTGGAGGAGAGGGAAAGTACAGCTCACACCAAAAAGAAGCAGAGCGCTGCGGGTATAACACTGGGGCAGGGGTATAATGCTGGGGCACTGGCCCAGGTACCTAACCAGCGCCACCTACTGGTTGGCAAAATGATGGGAGCACACGGGACTTGGATGTATTCAGCAGGCAGAAATGGTTGTTTACCACACCAAGTCTGCTGGGCACATCGGGCTCAAGGGCAACAGCTAGGCTCAGGGAGTGACCGAGGCTCATGGTTCGAGGCCCAGGAGAAATCCTGTTCCCTTAAAAGGCAGGTGCTGAACCCAGCATACGCTGCCGTATCTTGCTCTAAATAAAAGCATAAACAAACAAACAACAACAACAACAATAATAATAAACTGGCACCTAAGCAGCACAAGCCAGCCAAAATCACCCCCCTGTTACTCCCTGTTACTCCAGCACTCCTCTTGCTGTCCTCCCAGTCAATCTCTCCATCTCCCCCCTCATCTCCCTCATCTTCCTCCTTTTCACCACCAGTCGTTTTTTCTTTCATTCCCCCGATACTCTCCATTTACATTTACCTCCACACACATATATCCTGTTCACCCTCACTCCTCTCTCCACCTCCTGCCCTCTTCTACCCTCTTGTCATTTCTCTGTCAGCTTTTTCCCACCCCCATTCTTCCTCTGTTCTACCCCCTCACCCTGCTCCATTTTTAGCAAAACTCTGAGCATTGATCATTTGACCTCCCCCACCCCTCCAACCATCATAGAGTCTCTGCTCAAGTAGCTGAATGCTGCCCTCCCCCCCCCCAGCACCCCAGGATGGGGAGAGGGGCGGATGAGCTAGAAGAACCAAAGGGAGGAAGATAAAAATACCTTTCATCAAAGCCAAGGTGCTCCTCCTCCTCATATGCATATTTAAATATAAGATAAGGATCATTTCACCATTCTCTCTCCGGCTCTGAGTGGCCGGGTTAATTTTACCAGACACAGATGCACTTTAAATGTACAGACGATGTTTTTCACTCATGCACACATGCACCTCTACATCCTCTGTGGCACCCGCTTGATGACCCAATGTGACATGTGAACTTCTCCAATTTATCTGACAGCATTTGTTGGCTGAGTAATTGCTTTTAGTCAGACATGACTTGGATTTTCAGCTTTGGGTTAGACTAATGTCTCGCAACCTCGGGAATCCCCAGACAGCCCAAATTTTTGTTCCCAGCCAATCAAGAACACCGAAAACCTCATACCGATGTGTTGGAGTAAAAACGTGGACTGGGGGTCCCCAAAGACCAGGTTAGGAAACACTGGCCTCCTCTCTTCAGTCAATGGGTTCACGTCCCAAACCTTCTGTTCCTCCTTGTTCACCTGGTCGACCAGATGGTGGCCGCAGTGGCTGACTGCGATGTGGCTATACAGACCATGCGGCGTGACACAGCATGGTGTTTGGGTGCTGGTGGCTGCATTACCCCACACCAGCTGCACCTACAGCACGCTCGCATATTTCCTGCGTCTAATTAATGAGGAACGAGAGCCTCCGACATGTCACCATGTAAATGCAAACTGCGATCGATCGCTGCCCCCATCTTGACAGACCAACCCAGATCTCCGGTTTCTACCGACACCCCCTCACACTCTGGCAAACGATGGAAACGAACAGTGGGTCTCCTTTCCCCCCATCTGTCTGCATACTTTAAGGCTGACCGTTTCATTCCATAATCATGCCAATCAGTAGGTGGCGCTGGTTAGGGACCAGGCCCTGTGCCCCAGCGTTATACCCCTGCCCCACAAGCAAGGTGCCTAAACTCTGAGAAAATATGCAGGCATAAACTGCTGCCAGCCACTCAGTAAGTAAAACATCATTATTAGCCTATATCTCCGTTTACTTGTTTATTTTTGGTCGAAATGAAAAAAAAACTAAATCTGGGTTATAGACTTTTTTCATTGCCAAGACACTTAATTACAAAATTATTTTGGTTTTGCATTTCATTTTCCGGAGTTAAATTTAAAATACTCATGCCACCGGGCTTAGAGCTTGACAGGAGGCGAATAACAGCGAGGAAAATGATCTGAGCACACGAGTATGCCAACAGGAGCTGGCTCTGCATAGGTGCACCTAACAAGGAAGCCAGTTATGCGAAAGGTCACATGTCAAAATGCTCAGCGTGCCCAAATGCCCACTATTCCATTTACCGTGCACTGAAGAGGAGATCCCTCTAGCCCTTCATACGTTTACCAGCGTGCATTTGTTATTAAACATGGGAACATTTGGGGTCCTTAAAAAAAAAAATGCCGTGGAATGAAAACATGCAGTTTATTTTTAGTATTCTATCGAGCCACTGGAACAGTGTTCACAGACCGTGGTTGCCTAACACACATAGAAATATACTGTATACTTTTTCATGAAGTAAGAAGAATAGATATTTGCTGGGCAATGGAAAAGAAAGTCGTATGGTCAAATGAGTCACTCTTCACCAGGTTCTCAGCAGATAAGCCCACGTGTGGTCAATGCCAAAAGGTGTCTACAGGTGTGAGTGTTTGTTTCTCACCATGTACGGTTCTGGCATTTTTGGCATGTGTGAGGTGCATTTTCCTGGCATAGTTTAGGTCCACCTGATCTCTCAGAATACACTCTGAGGAAGCAGGTCCATCCTACAGGAAGACATGGCAATGCCGAGTGGATCTTTCCGAGATGATGGAGCCCCACCGAAAGGCTACGCTTTGAGAAGCACTAAGACTGTTTCAGACCAAATGCTGCGGCCAGTCAAGTCAGCGCACCTCAACCCAGCAGAACACGTACGGAGGATTCTGGAACGGTACCTGAGATGAAGTTTTCCACCACCATCATCAGTATCATCATCTAAACACCAAAAACATGGAAATTCTAGAAGAGTTACATACACTACCTTTGTTAACTTTGAATGGAGTAATTCTGCATTGTTCAAGAAATGTAGGGCAAATGAAAATGTAAACTAAAGTTGTATTTATAAACATAATTTGTATTTAACTTGATTTTCAAAATCAAGGTCTCTCAGTGCAAATATTCTGAAGTTTATTTTTTTCCATTCTGCCCATTCATGGTTGTGCATTAATATCGTTACAATATGGAGATTAAGATTACGATTAAGATGGGCTTCATTGATCTCAGGGGGAGATTCTGGATCTGAGGGTGAGATTCTCGTCATTATATACTATAATAATGTCCGTCCATCCGTCCGTCTTCTTATGACATCTCCAGGTCAGGGTCTCTGTACACTAAGGCTAACATAATGGAGAAAACTGCAATAGCACAGGGTCTCCAAAAAGCTGAAGAGAACTTCAAATCCACTGACAGAATTTGGGCAGCGCCGTTGGTCTGGATGTGATTCTGACAGACCATGGATGTGCGATGACCTCAAACCATCTAATGGCCGCGTCACCCAACCAGACCAAAACTCCACGCTTGCAAAACAGCACCCGACACACGAAAGACCAACCCACTGGCTGACAAGAAAAAAGCACATCTTGTCCAGTAAAGTCATAATTTCTGAAGGCCCCAAAATAACAGCTAGCAGGATGTCCCTACTGCTACACCGGGTCAAAGGTCACCAGCCTTTCAACCCCCCCTTTCATCTCTCCATTTCTGTCCTTTCTCCTGGGTCCATCTGCTTATTTCCCTGTTCCCCGCACTCCCTGTTCTGCTTCTCCTTCCCATCGACTCCTGCCACATACTCAACTCGGCCTCATAATAAAAATTTATATATGCACTCTGTATCTCCTCTTTGAAACCAGAATATGAGCAAATGAGCATAGAGATCCTCCTTCCAGCACAAACAGGCACCTGAATTAATCTCTTCCATATTACCTTACACAAATCATACTATACCACGCTGGCCTTGTACACTGATCTAGGCAACAGCATCTGCTATATGAATGATAGCAATGATGACAATAATAAGGGTAATAACCTCTATTTGTTTTCCTTTATCTCCAGCCACACCTCCTTCCCTCTCTGCCACCACGATGGCTATTGATCTTCACTTTATTTAGCCTCTGTCCTCATCCAAGATGGCCACCTTCCCCATGAAAACGAAGACAGCAGTGCTACAGGGCCCAGAGGCCAGCTGCCCCCCCCCCCCCTCCGCTGGGAACACAGCACAGAAAGTGGCATTTGGATGGACTTCAGGTAGAACATGCTGTTAAAATCCTTGGCTGTGGAAGCTTGGAGGTGCCCTTATAAATCTCTGGAACATCTCTGAATGTCATTTGTGTGCATGTATGCATTAGTGAGTCAATCATGTATGCAAAGTATATCATTTTTTGGTATTCTGTGACGTATTTCATGTCATCTGCATCTGGGTGGATTCCCTCAGCATGTCAAGGCGTCACGTGGTCTGATTATAATTGAACACAAATTTAAATCACAGTTTTCTTCAAGAGCATAATATCCCACATGATTACTCAAGATTACACCTTGTCCAAAGCAGACCAGTGTGGCCTTCAGGCATGCTTATGGCAAAATGACTCAATGGCGATTCTCAACTGATACGCGGAAGATCCAATTTGACTTGTAATTGGACTTGTAATCGGGCTTGAAATTGGACCGTAATTCGTCTGGTAATGGGACTTGGTAATGGGCCTGGTCAACCTAGGATGGAGGGCAGGACAGCAAGCTCCATGGTGGTCAAGGAGCTGGCCGTCATACAGGTCCCAGAAGAAGGCCGGGCACATCTTAACCTGAGTAATTTCATTAAACCCGCATGTAGACACTGTGCTAAAAGCCTTATCTCACTCCTGGCAGACGCCCAATAAAGAAGTCAAATATAAATACTTTGGATCCCTCTTCTTCCACAGCCTACATTCTGTGAATATATTAGGGCCTCCCAGCAATGATCTCCCCCAGCAGTGCCCCCAGTGGCAGAGATAGGCACGAACGTTCTGCGACTCCATGGAGTCACATGATGGAGGCTCACCTAAGGTCTTTCGAGATGCTGATCCGCACATTTTGGTGCTGACGCTCTTCTGTTTTGTGGATTTCATGTGACGTGAGATTGACGGACTCGTCTCTCCGTGCTGCTGTTATGCTATGAAAGACTCCCTCGCCTCCTGTAGCTACCGATAATTACTATATTAATTCCTCTGCCTCACCTGCCCGGTCCGGCCGTAGAGCAGCTTGGATCAGATCCACTGTACCTGTACCTCCCAGACCTGAGCATTTGCCTGTTAAGTACGGTTTAACATCTGGCACCCGCCGCTGTTCACCTGGACCCCAAGCCGTGCATCATTTAATGCTGTTACACACCCGCTATCTGCTCTGCGACGATCTGATGCTGCCAGGGCTGCGGTTCTGCTTTTCTACACGGCAAATCCCCGCAACAGGCCCACGAAGACCATACATCACGCCGACCGCAGCGCACACATGCCGGCGTTATCCTTCCCCGCCGGAGACAAATGGCTCCGATCCGCTGCAGGCTGCGTTGCGAAGCAAAGCAGGCAACGGATTCCTCTCTGTCGTTCCAACCCATTAGCCACCCCAAGGCTTATGAAAGGGCAGGCACACCAGCAACAGCGCCTCCTACTGTTCAAACGTGTGAATGGCACCCACTAGGTGTTACATGGCTGTATGTGATTGCCTCTTTGCTGTCGTATACAGAACACCAATCCAGTCAAATAAAGGATCCTTCGGCAAACATTCGGCAAGGCAAGCTATTACTAGAAGCCCTGGCTGCTTCAAAACACATAGTAAGCATCCTCTCATGAGACACTACGGACAGCATCATCCACACACAGCAAGAAACATACTTCATCCCCATGGGGGTGCTAAATCAATTCTCCCCCCATCCCCCACCCCCTCACTCCTTCCTCTTCCAGCACCGTGACATGTCTGAGTAGAAGCAAATCTGCAGGGACTGCTGCCACACAAAAATCAGTTTGGGAGAATACAGTGACCAGAGGGGGCGCTAGAGAGCAGGTGGGAGCAGAACAGTGGGAGCACATGGACAGAGAGAGAGTGAGAGAGAGAGAAGGGGGGGGGGGGGGGGGGTTGATAATGGGCAGGACTCAAATGGCCGCCCTGCATCCTCATGAAACAGGAGAGAGGGAGACTAAAGGGCGGAGGTGTGCAAGTAAGAGCACGATGGAGCAAGAAGGAGAAGGAGCGAGGCAGACGGAGAGGAAAACCACAGCGAAAAGGGCGTGACACAGAGAAACTGGAAAAGAGAAAAGGAGAAGACGACGGCTAAGGGAGGAGGAATGGGGGTGGAGGATGCTGAATCGGAGAGGCGGAGGGGCGAAGAGCCGAATAGAAGAGCAACACATGAGGAAGTGCGATACAGATGGCAGCAGGCAGGCGATAGTGCTGGGGGGGGAGGGGATGGGAGACAAGAGCCGCAGATTCCATCACCCCGGTAACGGAGCGGGGATATACCCAAAACAGTGACAGCGAGGGCGTGAGAGAGAGAGAAGCTGAGGACCACGGGGGAGGTGGAGGGAACAGGACACGTGCTCCATGCTGTGCTCAAAATACCAGGGATCCGACTGCAGCCCATTCGCTCGCTTGTATTCAGCCAGAAAGCAGCCATCAAACCATGACTTAAAAAAATGCACATGCATCACCCGTGTGCCTTTCCCAGAGGCTTACCGTGGCGGGCGGCCTTTGCAGACACCCCCAGATTGTGGCCAAACGTGAAACCACCAAGCAGCAGTCAGAGGAACCTGAGCTTCAGCTTGTGGCTGCTTCTTTAAAACGACGCCGTAGCTGTGCCAGCCAGCGGGCAAGGGTTTGATTCCCGTTCCCAGCTGCTCCATCCATATGAAGTGCGTATCTCTTTTTCTTCTTAGGTTAAATGTTTATTTTTCCAGAATTTCTGGCTTGAGGTCAATAAAAGATATCGACATTATCGGCGTCCAGTTTATTTACATTAGAGGAACAAAGTAGGGTAATAAAAGGTTCATCAACGGGGATGCCACAGGGATGCTTGGCTGAGGACTACAGCCAGGAACGCGCATCTACCTGCTCCGTCAAGTGGGATCCCTTCCTGCTAATGGGCACCAGCATTGTTGCCTGTCGTATCCCGCTTGCCTGTACTCACAGATCAGCTGCTGAGTCCTCTGCGGACATGCAGCTGCCTCTATGTGCAATTTATCCCTCGCTTTGTGCTTTGTGCCCTAGGGGGATGTACTGCTGCACTTTGTTGCATTAAATGCACCTTCCAGATAAAGCCCAATGGGCTTCACGTTCCCATTTCCACGTCCTCAACCTGTCAGATATCAGCACTGGGAGCAGAGCCGTCGTTTGCATGGTGGTCTGATCGCAGAAGCCGATCTGGGCTGTAGCTGGAGACAAGCCAATAAATAATTTAGACTCTGCAGATTCAATGTAGATCACTAGCTGCACACGGGAGAGAGAACTCTGGCTCATGACTATCTCTCTCTCTCTCTCTCTTTCTCTGCCTCTGTCTGTTTCTGTCTCTCTCGCTCATCCTTCCTTGTTTTCCTTCTGTGTTCTCTCCCACAAGACTGAGCTCTCTCAGAAATAAACAGCTAAAGGCAACCCCCCCCCCCCCCCATTTATCACCCCCCCCCCCCCGCCCACCAGAAGTTAAGGTACGGGTTAAGATGGACGGACACCCATTTATCTTCACACACCGAATAAACCCAGCCCCACTGAACCCACCCCACCCAGACACCAAGGTCCGAGGGAGCGAGACCTGCACAGTGCTTAGAGCCCACAAGGTGCAGAAGCCTATTCAACTCATGAGATCCAACCTCCCAGTGCATTATGGGAAGAGTTTGGGCTACAGTTGAATCCTCCTCTTACTCGAATGAAAATGAGAAAAAAAGGAGAACGGCGGGTTTCGAATCAGCGCCACAGCTGTGATTTTCACCAACGTGGCACTCTGTGATGTTCACGTCATCCCAACGTGGCGTTTCATCCCCCGGGAACCATAAACCGTGGAAGCCACACCCGTCTGGCCTAACGCTGCCTACATCTTTCTCCATTAACAGATGCAACCTCTATGCTCTACAACATTCACCAGAGCAAAAGTAATTAAACGCACTGTAATTAAATACATTCCTCAACCTGTCGCCTTTTACTCATGCTATGAGGCAGATTTTCAAGTCATACTTAGTGCATCTCTTGGCCCCCTGTCATCACACCATGAAAAATTGCCAGGCACAGAGGAGAAAGGGAGGAAGAGGAGAGAGGGAAAGAAGTCAGAGGCAGGGTAGAAGAAGAGACAGAGAGCGGGAAGACTGCTGCCCCCTAGGAAGGAGCACACTCCTAGCGTGGCGCGGAAAATCGGCGGCAAATGCCATCTTGTCAGTTGACTAATGCTTTGATCTGCCCGGCAGATAAACAGCTGCTGTTTTCTGTAACCAGCCCATAAATGTCCAGGGTGGCCACTTACCAGACACACTACAAAAGAAAGTCGAGATATTACCTCTCGATATTGCTGACAGGAATGCAGTCACATTCATAGAAGCAATCTTGGGGAAAAAAAAAAGCTTATTAGTCTCATACGTCAGATCTGATGGACGTCAACATGATAGGCTTGGCCGCTCACACACCGGCCATTCAGGTAACGCCCCGCCCCCCACAGCCGGGCTCTGGGCTCGGCCCAAAACTGGCACTGGTGCCTGATGGAGCAGACAGATGGCGGCAGGCGGGGGCGGAGCCTATCTGAGGGAGTGGAGGCCCTTTCAGCTCCTGTCTCCCTACCCACCAGCCTCGGCTGTCTAAGGCTTCCGATGAGGATGACTGGGCTGGGCAAACGTCAGAGGAAATGACAGCCCCGACAACCGACTTCTGGGAACAGGTTTTGAGAAAACTGGATCAATGAAGAGCAAAATGGAAGGTTTGGGAGCAGAGCCAAGATGGCCGCACCCCAACACCCATCACCCTCACACACAGAACAGTATCCCCCCTTCCCCAATCTTCCCCCTTTTATATGAAGGTGATCAACAGCAGGTCAGTCATACAGAGAGGTGTAGTGTGCTGGGCAAACCAATATAAAACCATCAATTCACAATGCGCTACACTGAGTGGCTGATAAGCAAGCAGATCTGTCAATAGAATTCTCCATAGGTGTTAGTTTTTCCATAGGTGTTTTAGGACACTGGTTTGAAGACCACCCCTACAGGGATGTGAACCAACAACAACCTGATCACAGAGCCAGTTTCCCTGACCACCACACTGTGTGCTGCCATCAGACAAGCGAAGGATGTCTTCATTGCATTGTTACAAGGTAGATGTCATAATGTTTTCAAAGAATTTCTGGCTCTGCTCCCCCTGCCCTGTGCTGGGTGTGGCTCTGCTCCCCCTGCCCTGTGCTGGGTGTGGCTCTGCTCTCCCTGCCCTGAGCTGGGTGTGGCTCTGCTCCCCTGCCCTGACCTGGGTGTGGCTCTGCTCTCCCTGCCCTGACCTGGTTGTGGCTCTGCTCTCCCTGCCCTGACCTGGGTGTGGCTCTGCTCTCCCTGCCCTGACCTGGGTGTGGCGCTGCTCTCCCTGCCCTGTGCTGGGTGTGGCTCTGCTCGCCCTGCCCTGTGCTGGGTGTGGCTCTGCTCCCCTGCCCTGACCTGGTTGTGGCTCTGCTCTCCCTGCCCTGAGCTGGGTGTGGCTCTGCTCTCCCTGCCCTGACCTGGGTGTGGCGCTGCTCTCCCTGCCTTGAGCTGGTTGTGGCTCTGCTCCCCCTGCCCTGTGCTGGGTGTGGCTCTGCTCTCTCTGCCCTGAGCTGGGTGTGGCTCTGCTCCCCCTGCCCTGTGCTGGGTGTGGCTCTGCTCCCCCTGCCCTGTGCTGGGTGTGGCTCTGTTCTCCCTGCCTTGAGCTGGTTGTGGCTCTGCTCCCCCTGCCCTGTGCTGGGTGTGGCTCTGCTCCCCCTGCCCTGTGCTGGGTGTGGCTCTGCTCCCCCTGCCCTGTGCTGGGTGTGGCTCTGCTCGCCCTGCCCTGTGCTGGGTGTGGCTCTGCTCCCCCTGCCCTGTGCTGAGTGTGGCTCTGCTCCCCCTGCCCTGTGCTGGGTGTGGCTCTGCTCCCCTTGCCCTGTGCTGGGTGTGGCTTTGCTCTCTCTGACCTGTCCTGTATCTTCTTTGGTTTTCATGCACAACAAGATGCTTCCTTTCCACAGATCCGCCCTTAGGGCAGTGATGGCAGCCCGTCCTTTTCATTTGTTTGGAACCACTGTCCCACACGTGCACCCAACAGCACTGCCAAATCCACAACATGTGCCTCTCCCTTGGAGAAGCCCGGTGCCCAGTGAAGTAATGTGCTAACAGATGGTCACAGAGTGATGTCCAGTACAGTGCCGCAGACATGCAGGAACACAGTCTCCCTGTGACACATCCACAGCCCTCCCTTATCACTATACCCCTCTCCACCAATAGGGGGCAGTCTTGCTGTTGGGCTACAAGGCTACCTCCTTCCTCCTGCTGTTAGGCCACATCAGAGCTGATGAAGCTCCTTCAGCCGTATGAAATACCACCAGCGCGGCTCGATTCACAATACGGTTACCAGTCAGAAAGAATGTAATAATGAAGATGTGGGAGGGGCAGATTTACGGGGCCTGAAACTCTAATAAGCCCCACAATACTAATCGACTTCCATTGTGTGAAAAACCTGGCATCCAGTCAAGACAGAAAAAGGAAGCCATCTATCCGATTATCTTCAGGAGCCCCTGATGCATTCTGGGACACAGCGAAGCTGAGGTGCTCCCAGGAAGCATGACAGCCAAAAGGACCATCAGAGGGCGCTAATACATTTTACGTCTGTGAGTCCCCAAGGACCGTGTTGGAAAACACCGGTGTATAGTAACCCACAGCCAGTGTTTCGTCAGCATCAGGAATAATCAAAGCACTTCAAAGAATGGTCACATGACAATCCACCCTTTGATGTCACCATAAGGTGAGTAAAGCCAAACTGAAACCTAAATATTATAAGTTATATACTGCTAAATCACGTGACTGGTGTGTGGTTAAAGCCTCTGTATCCATAACAGGAAGGCTGCAGGTTCAAATCCTAAGGTCGGCGATGTCACAGTTGGACCCTTTGAGCAAGACCCTTAACCCCATTTGCTCCAGGAACTGGCTGATCCTCCTTTCTCAGTTGTAATTCGCTTAGGATAAAAGCGTCTGTTAATTAAATGTAAAGCCATTTCCAACACTAGAAGGACACAGCTGTCCCTTGGATTGCTATGAACAAGTGAGGAGCCCCTGATATTAGGGGGAAATCGGGGGCATCAACAGGAAAAAGTGGCTGAAATCCAAGACTTTCAAACCTGGAAGCTGAGTGAGGGCCAGAAGCCTCCAGCCATGAGGAAGGCATTTAGGATGCAAAGAAGAGATTAACTGCACGGTGTAGGACACCAACTGCCCTTCTGCCCATTGGGAACTTCTCACGCTTGCTGTCAGTCAGGAAGCAAAAACTTTGACACACATACAGTCATCCACCCACGGCCGGATGCCCAAGACCCCAAGACCACCTGTACACCCTACCCACCCAAACCCCCACACTGCTATATTGGCAAAATACATACTATATATATATATATATATATATATATATATATACACCTGTGCCCACTCTGCCTTCCTGCCGACTGCCTCTCCCATTCGATGCCAAGCTTCGCACGTGCTGACATCAGCAGATGAGCCCGCGCCCCCCCAGCTGGTGCCCACCCTCCGCCTGATGGAGCCCCCCGTTCAGCTGTGGCTGGTACGTGTCACAAAGTGTGTCACACACGTCACCTGTTATCTCTCCACACACATCGATGTGTGCGCATGCACCAACTTGCATAAAAAAATATGGAAGATGAGTGGCATGGTGGGGGCGTAAAATCCAGAGGAACCCCCACCCCCTTGCCTACTACAACAGCCTGAGAAACAGGGGATCTCCTGAAAACGGTGTCGCTAGATTGCAATAAAACATTTATTACTGGCACTGAGATGCAACAAAATGCACGCACTGATCGACAGAAAACAAATAGGTACCATCGATAGGGACAGGCATCTAAATATTGTGATTAATGAGACTGACAGACTCCCCTTTGATGGAGCGCTTTAAATGGCACCCTCTGCTGCTTCTGCAATTGGCGCCCTCGCCCTCCACGGCGTGGAGCACGACGAGGGAAAGAGACCACGAACATCGCTGTTTCCGCCAGCGATCACATCGACACAGCAATACACTAAAATGCCACTTAAAAGACACTACTCGTAAGAATCAAGTGTCAAAACACGCTATAAGTTAATTATCGCATCGGGCTGTAATTAAAGACTCGGCGTATGCTTTCGGGATTAGGATTCCCAGCTGACAGCGTCGAGCAGACTGATTTCCAGCCGAGAGGGATCCAAGCAATACTGTACCTTAACCCCGGGGGGAGGAGGGGGCATCTGGCATCTGGGTGGGAAAAAGAAAAAGGATATGGCCATTCGGTGATCTTTTTGGCGTATTTTCTCACCACGTTGTCCTCGCTGAAGAGAAAGAGGGACCGGTTGACTGTAAGGCAGTTCTGCCGGACCGGTATGGGGTTGTAAAGGGCCATGGTACGGGCTCGCTGGGCCATCGACTGCTTGTACATCCTCTGGGCTCCCGGCGGGCCGCCCTGCCTGCTGCTGCCGCCGCCGCCGCCGGCGCCGCCGCGGCCAGAGCCGCCCTGGCCGGGTCCGCCGCCGTACCTGGCCGGTCCCTCGTCTCCAAACCGCGCCATTCTACGGACACCAAACGCCAATCGTTACGAAGCAGCCGAGATGGAGAGGAGCACTCAATGCATCCACACCACATTACATCCTTTCTCCTCCAGGACTTAAACATACAAATGTTATGTCCTTCCAGTCGATCTCATCTGAGTCCGAATGACGGTAGAAGCTTTCCCTGTTTTTGTATGCAAATAGTGCAACTTTTCAATTAAATTACTGAATAAAATTGTCACGGTATGGCTGGCTGGTTGACTGGCGGCTGTCGGTCTGGGCGTTAGTGCAGTACAGTCCGTCTTCTGTACCGTTTAAGGGAAAAAAGTATATTTCCAATGTATTTCACTTAAACTTGTTAGATGAGTTCATCTTCCCTCAATACGGATATTTTCCATCCGACGGTAAGCCAGTAGGAACCTTATTTTAAAAAAATCAGTCATCACAAAACAATTAACAAGCAATATCTAGATAAAAATAAAATCAATAATATAAACGTTAAATGAAAACGTTAACAAATCGTAATTTTCCTCAACTCAGCATCTTGGATTTTTTTTTTTATACAAAAACGTTGCATTAATATTTCATTAACATCCGGAATGTTTTAATGTTTTTTTTTCTTTCCTCCAGTCCATAGAAAATCAGGTCTCCCTGGACCGATCAAACATTTGTTGAATGGTGTTTCACGTCGACGCGGATCGCCTCTATGGATGCGCGGATCTTGTTGTTTCACTTTTCTATAAAAGAAGACACGTTGTTGCGTTTCGTTTCCTTCCGCTGGACAGACGGTCTATGCCTTTCGGTCATCATCTGCTCTCCAGGGTCGGTAGAAAAATCCAGGCGTAAAAAAACCCCGAGAAAGTACCACGGGGGACGCCGTAAGTAGCATCATAAAAACCTGAGGAGACGGTGGCAAACTACTTAAGTGTCTCGCAACATCGTGCGTCCCTCCGCCACCAGACAGAGAGCAACAGAGGAACCGTAAGCCGCCCCCGCCCCGCACGGTCCCCCGCCCCCCTACCCCGGCCGTACTGCTCCGCTCCGCCTGCTTCGCTTTTACTAGTCGCGGTCCAGCGCCCCCGTGGGCTTTCTGCCTTCCTTCGACATCAGCCAAGGCAAAAAAGAGGAAGAAAAGGGGGGAAACAGACGAGGAAACGCGACGCGCTCCGATCAGTTGGCAGGTTCGCCTACAAGGAGCATCTGATTGATTTAACCCTGTCGGAGCTTCCTGAAACCATCCTGAAGCCAACTCTTACGGCACATGATGCCCGCGCCTCCCACCGATTCCTGTAGCTTCCCCCTTCATCAGCTCCGCCTGAATGTTTCCGTAAGGAGCCGGAGCATCAGACCAAGTAACTTGCTCGACGGAGCTATAAATTTAATTCAGCGATTCTACTCAACAGAGGCCCCACCGGTATCAACATGCTGTCACCTTTTGCATTTACTCAGCCATCGATCTGAATAAAACCTGTGCATTGTCGAAAGACTGGGGGTAAAGACAATCAGTATTTTGGGGCGTGAGTGCCACTTTGTATTTTTCAGTGGTCACATTTCCAAATAACGCGTGTTACTGGACGGGCTGTCATCAACACAACCCGTTATTAATGCCTTAGTATGTGTCTGTATGGGCGGGGAGGGGGGGGGAGGGTATCTCCGGGGACCCCTGCGCTCAGAAATAATGCACAGGCAGCGTGGACTATTCTTAGCCGTGGACATATTTGGATATGTGAGATCTTTCCAGAATAACGTTCATTTATTTTTATTTCTATATAGCCTGGGCTTCAGGTGCGTTCGCTCTTTCCCAGCAGAATCAAACTGGCTCTCACTAGGACATAACGTGGTTTAAGTACCAAGAGAAGCAGGCTTCTGATGTTAGAATTTTGTTTCAATAATATTATAAAAACTACAATATGGATAAAATGTATCATGGAGAATAGCATGATTTACACATATGATGGAAATGATTTTCTTACCTGTTTGCTATTATTTTCTTGTTTCATGGCTAATACAGTTGAGTAATCGCAAAAATTTGCTTAAAGCAGATCTTCAGATAATCATATCTCACGACTCCCACCTCTGTTTCTGAAGCCTACTGTCGCTACGCCAAAGCTCATATCAGCCAGATTTACCCAACCCAGATTTTCTTACATGTCTTTCATTTAAATTTGTGGCATCTACAGCATATACGTAACTCCAAAAGAAAAAAAAAAAAAAAACGTTGTCAGCTCTTAGTAATGAGTAATCTTATTTCATTTAATACTACACTGAAGAATAATTCTCTAATACTAATCTCATGTACATAATTTACGAAATGGACTTTGTTAAGATAATTGAGGAAATCAACGTTTACCAAGAAGCGGATGTTCGCTCAAATATAAGGTGTAAAAGAATACAATACGACACATAAGTTGCTTGTCCACAGTACGCAGTTCAAGGACGACTGTTGTTCGCTTCATTATAATTTTCCTACCGTTATGGTCGACTCCAATTAAAATGGTGACAGGACAACACCAGCAGGAGCGTATGAAGGCTGACAATCCGCGCGCTATTTTTTGAAAGGCCCGAACCGGATTTTTCCCTTGGAAGCTTCCTCCATGTATAGTGTATATACGTACTTAAACGGGTCTGGTTAGATGTTTCCCACGGGATAGGGGGTTGAGAGAGCACGAATTGTTAGTACAACGACCTCATCGCCCCAGCCCTTCATGCGCCGCAAACTCATCGCTGTGCGGCCCAACGAAGCACGAGACCCCTTTTGATCCATCCATCCATCATCCACGCAGATGTGACAGGCGTCAAATATCAAACAACTTTCTTTTAACAATATTGGTAATCAGTAACTAAATTTTAAAATATCGCATTATTCAGAGGGAAACGAATCTCTTTCGTTAATTTTGGGACGTTTTACATCCATAAGCTGAGTAGTTGCGAAGGATTCACCGCTCATTAAAATAAATAGAAACTCACGTACCCGTCCTGCTCCATAACTGTCAACGTCACAGGGTGTCTGGGAGCTATCCGGGGTGCTGAAATGGTCTATCCAGGTCAGAGTTGCCCGTTGATATATAGGCTACAACTAGAAATTTCATCACGTTCTTTTTCCACGACGTGAGAAAATGATCCATGTGTTTCTTTTAGTCCAGACTGTGCCATAAGTTGCTCATTTTTAAACAGCCCCCCTACCCCCAAAATAAGAGTCCCACCGCTGAATTCCGAATGAAGCTTGCCAAGGGGTTCCATGTGGGCAGCCGCACACCCCGTCAGCGGATCGGCCCGAGAGCCGCTGCACTCCTTCAAAGTGAGCCTGAGCTTGTTAAATTTCTCCCCTTGCTTTTCAGAGAGACTCTCCCCCTGCAATCCTTCCCATACAATCCACCCGTTATGCTCTGCTTTGCTATTTCACTCTCTAAAACATTTCAGCTGGTCGGAGGGGATTTATTGACAGGTCCAATCTGTCAAAGTGTCAGCTGTAAGACAGCCAAGGGCAGCCATGCTCACAGTGGCGGGACCGTAACCTCCTCCATATGTTCCGGATCCGTAGACCCTCACTTGCACACATGATGCATGAATATACCCTCGGCACGAGAGCCAGAGGGGCCGCACGAGGGACAAAGATACAGGCAGACGCACATGCGGATGCGCAATATACATTTTACTCTAGGATGATATTTTCATCCCTGATTGCTGGCTTGCTTGGAGGGTGCTTCAAGAAGACTGAGCTACCCCCCCCCCCCCCCAGTTTGGTAATCTGAGGCTGCAGTTTCCTGTAGTAAGAAGCTGTGTACCATCGTAAATATAAATAAACTCCACCCATCCATCTTGTTTACTGCTTATCCAGTACGGAGTTACAGTGAACATAAGTTATGGAGCATTACACTTAATTTTTGATTGGCAGTTGGACTAAACGTAAAACCAGCAGATACGCTGTATAGGCTACTGGAATCTGTAGATTGAGTTTGACTTGCCATTCTCCATATTATTATATGCATATTCTTTTTTTATTCATTCAATCTGATCAAGCTAAACCTAAATTGTAATCATGTTGCTTATGTGTTTCATTAGGCATAAGGATTTTTGATCAGGAAAACTGCACATTAATATAGGTACTTATACCAGAGCCTATTTAGCGTTACACAATTCACAGTGCCATTTCGGGCTGATAACGGTAAGCTGGGATATCAACCGGGACTGTTCCTAAGTCACGCACTCCTCCGTGATGCATAATTCACCGATAACCGAAATTACAGCTTTAGAAAAAGAGAGTCAGCAAAGTACTAATGACAAAAAATAGCTTTCTTCGAAGACTTATGCAATAGCTGGCGCAGCGGAGGGAAACGACGGGTTTGCGTACTGTGCGTTCATGAGAGAAGAAAAGGAGAGAGGAGGCACTTAGGGTGGAGGATATTAATCAAGAGACTTCGTGTGTATTTGTGGCCAACCGTTGACACAGACAAATCTGCGTGCGCTCAAAGGGGACCGTGCAGACCCTAAACTGGCATTCACGGGACAGCGAGGGAGCGGCATGATCGCCGCGAATCTTTCCTCCGCGGCAGATGGGCTTGCTGTCCACGCGCCCCTGAATGTATGCCCCCACCCCCACGGCTGACGCTCGCCGTTTCTCACGATCCGAGGATTTTCTGCTGCTTCCAGACATGCATGGTGGCTAATAGAGCACAGAAAGGGAGAAAGGAGGAATTTGCCATAGCCAAGATGCGGTTTTTTAAACGCTGAGCCATTTCCACGTTTCGCTGAGCCGCTGCCGGCTTCAAGCTGGCTTGTTTTCAGGCCAGATTCAGTCATTACTCACGTTCTCTAACCGGTGCCACCCCTGTTCAATGTGGCAGATCATTGCTTTAGCTGAAGCGCAAGTTTCTGTCGCTCCAGGTGGGCACCATTCTGATTAGATTTCAAATTAGCCTGATAGTAAACCGTAAAATTGCTGACGTGGTAGCTGTGAGTAAAAGTAAAACGAATCCAAGTTAATCTTGTGAACAACTATTTTCAGGTTAGCACCTGAAATGGTTTGCCTGGGTGAAACTAACCTTATCCCTGTACACGGAGTGTAAAGAAGACACCTGCTATGACTAAAATGTTTTAAAAGACAATAACATGAACAGGAAGCAGTAATACAGGAATAATGTCAATAAAGATATTTTTGGTGGCAAAGAAAAGTCTTTTACTGCCTTAAAAAAATCAGACTTCCACAAAAGCAATCCACTAAGGCCTCACATTACACAGACAGCCAGTGAGTTTCTGTGCTTATGACCGCAGACAAACAGTCCTCTACCTCTAGGTGCGAGAACCCGAACGTCAACGGGAAACGTGTGGCTGCAGACTGGCTTAGCACAGCCCGCACTTATACGGCGCTGATCACCAGGTTTGGCGAGTGAGAGAAAGTGACGAAAGAGAGGCTCAGTAAAAGAGCGGAGGAGTGACAAAGACAGAGGGAAAGAGGGATGAGCATGGAAGGGCAGGAGTGAGAGAAAGAGTAAAGAGGTGTTATTACAGATAAAAGAGAGGATCTTGGCACCCTGACAATCGTTTCATCCACAAATCACTGGCTGGTACTTTAATTCCCTGAGGTTTATCTGTAGAACTTCCACTGCGACTGGGAGAAATAAAGAATATTTTAATTTTTCTTTCAAGACTTTTCAACCAACATTTTTTTTATTTTTTTTTGATTGAGCTTTAACAACACTGGGTGGTGTTATTCCACGTAAAAGGTGTCGCTAAGTATCATTGAAGGTCACTCCCACTGAGTGTTAGCTGGGGGGGCACTCCACAGGACGGCTGCCCCTGACACGGGACCCCCATGTCCACTTGGAGAGCAGCAGATGTTTCAGATGATCTGCCGTTGGCCTACTGAGACCCAACAGGGTGTGACTCTGGTGCTGTAGCTTACATAACACACCTGGCTTTGCACAATCATCACGGCTGCAAGATCTCCTGGGCCTGTCTGGAAGTCAGGTACTTCT